TTTTTTTGGCAGAGTCTCATCTCATCATCCGTGCTGGAGTTGCAGTGGTGTGATTTGGCTCACTGCAGCCTCCGCGTTCCCAGATTCAAGCGATCTCTGCCTGCAGCCTCCCAAGTAGCTGGGATTACAGGTGCCCGCCACCACGCCTGGGGCTAATTTTTTGTATTTTTTAGTAGAGATAGTTTACCATGTGGGCCAGGCTGGTCTTGAACTCCTGACTCGGTATTCACCCACTCGGCATCCCAAAGTACTGGGGAAAAAAAAAAAAAAAAGAAAGAAAGAAATAATTGGGAACAGACGTGTGGAAACCAAGTGGTACTCAATCGTATCCTGCTCAGATATACCCCTGGGTCTCATCTGTCTAAAGTGGTCAGATTTTTGTTGAAGCTTGGCCATGGTTTCTGCAATGGCATTTGTAGAAGGCAAGTGAGAGAACAATCATATTTGATTATTTGTTTTGGTTAATTTGTTTACCCACACCTCTACTTTATTTAAAAAGAGCTTGAGGCCCATAGGTTGAAAACTTAGAAAAGAACACTAGGTGTTGGGGGGACGCTGGTGAGAGCAAACGCTAGTATAGCCATTCTGGAGGACGATTTGGCAGGACTCAGTGACCTGAAACTGACGTATGCTGGCAGCCAGCAGTGATGAGTGTCTACGCATCCCTGGAAGCTCTGACACAGGCTCCCGAGGGGCAGGTGCGGCCATGTCCACTGAGGACTGCTGTGGCAACAGAGAGTGGGAGGCACCCAAAGTGTACAGGCTGGATAAGTAGAATGGCAGGGGTGCAAACAAGGGGCTATTTTGCAGTAGTGACACTTAATGAACTAGACATATGTAAAGCCACATAGAAAGGTCCTAAAAACACAGGGGAAAAGCCATCAACAGAATGAGACCTAGAGGGCAATCTATTTCTGTAAATTCAATACACATGTACACAGTATCATATCTCTTTTAAGGCTCCATCCACATCCACAGAGATACATTAAACATACCAAGGGAGTGGCATGTGAGGGAGGAATGTTGGGGGCTAGATGATGAGAAAAAGCAATGCCAGAGGGGCCCGGCACAGGCCAGTGGGCCAAGCAGACAGGGACAGAAAGAACAACATCCTGCTTCTGACTTCCAAAATTCTAAAAATTATAAAAGATTTCCAGCTGCTTACGAAAATCCCCGGAGGAGGGAGAACATGTACAGTTTTCAAATACAGCAACCATCCTGGGCCAGCTGTGGGCCTGTGGGGTCACAGGCATTGGGTCCCCAGTGCAGCCTCCCCTAAGCCCAGGGCCAGTAGTGCTGAATGAGTACCTCATGGTTTTCATGGCCAAGAAGATCCGAAAGGACTTTGAGCACGAGGCCTGCCACCTTGGCACACATGTTCTTCCCTATGGGAAACAAACCAAAGCTAAACATGACATGTCTAAACCCAGAAGCAGAATTTTGGGTCGCGTGGACTTGGGGACAAATCTTGGCTCCTCTGCCCATGAGCTGTATGACCTCGGGTGAGTCACATAACCAGTCTGGGCCTCAGTTTCCTCCTCTTTACAACAGAGATTACTATTCATACCTACCTCAAAGAGTGATGCAAAATTAAATAAACTAATGTATGTAAAGGACTCAGTGTAGCATACAACCTCAGTGCTCAGTAAACCACCCCAAATGGTGGCTATTACTCTGGTCAGAGCACAGAGTGAGTCATTACAGTGAAAGCACAATACATTATAGAGCAATGTTCTCCCTCCCACGCACGGATACCAGCATCACGAAGACCATACAGGCATTTTAGTAGCTATAAACGTCATCATAAAAATCACCGCAAATAAGGTGGTGATGATGAAGAAAAGCTAATTCTAATCTGATCAACGTATTAGAAGTTAGGACTTCTGGCTGGGTGTGGTGGTTCATGCCTGTAATCCCAGCATTTTGGGAGGGCGAGGCGGGTGGATCACTTGAAGTCAGGAGTTCAAGATCAGCCTGGCCAACATGGTGAAACCCCCTCTCTACTAAAAATACAAAAATTAGCCGGCGTGGTAGTGGGCACCTGTAATCCCAGCTACTCAGGAGGCTGAGGCAGGAGAATCGCTTGAACCTGGGAGGCAGAGGTTGCAGTGAGCCAAGATCACACCACTGCCTCTAGCCTAGGCGACGGAGCGTGTCTTCATCTCAAAAAAAAAAAAAGAAAAAAAGCTAGGACTTTTTGCACATGCTATTCTTTAAAATGACTGAAATAATTGTCATTTACTCAGTCAACAACACACAGTTACGTGGTTCAGTCTACAAAGTATACGGAGGTGAAGATGCTTCCAACAAGTACTCCTGAGTCAGCTATTTATCCAGGGGCCCTTTCTCTCCAAACACTGGATGCTCAGGCTGAGGAAAGCCAAAGCCTAGACTTGGCATCTCTTCTAAAGAAGCTTCTTTCATCCCAGGTAACAACTGAAATGAGATAGTACCTGTACCTGGAAAAGCTAAAATCACTGCCTTCAGTGATCAAGTATATAAATGACTTATGCCCACAGGAGAACCTCCACCTCCAGGGCTGGGGCAGGGAAAAGCGTGTGATTCACAGCAGGAAGTGTGGTTTAGTGTCACTGCTACTGCGGCCAGCTTAATCCTATAGGATCTTGGGAACACACTTCTTTGTCTTCAGAAAAGCGGATCATATTCTTAATTGCCTACCTTTGAACAATGCAATAAAGAAAAATGTAAATGAACTTAGTCTCCTCTTAATGTGGGCACTACATAGATACAAGACATTTTTTCCAGGGTGAGAAGGGATTTTGTCTTCAGGGATTCAACAGCTTGATACCTAGTTGGAAATGCTTTCCACTCTTTTTTCTGTTTTTAGTTTTCTATGAGACTAAAAGCAAACCACATCATGCTCACTAGAAACCCAGCTTCAAAGGTCAAGATCTCTTCCCCTTCTTGCAATAGAATGAGGGTTGGGGGGCTGAGACCTGTGCTGCGGAGACAGAGGTTCATAAGCAAAGCCACCGAGTACTCCAGCATGTAGTCAGACAGGCAGTCGGGGTCCTTCAGAGCATCAACCAGCCAGAAGATGAGGCCGTCTTGAATCATCGCTGTCTGCAGGGGGCGCCTGGGAAGAAACAGCCTACTGTAAAGAAAAACTGCCAAGAAACGTTTCATATAAGAGGAAACAGTAGGCTGGGTGCAATGGCTCATGCCTGTGATCCCAGCACTCTGGGAGGCCAAGGCGGACGGATCACCTGAGGTCAGGAGTTGGAGACAAGCCTGGCTAACATGGTGAAACCCCGTCTCTACTAAAAATGTAAAAATTAGCCAGGCATGGTGGCGGCGCCTGTAATCCCAGCTACTAGGGAGGCATGAGAATTACTTGAACCCAGGAGGCAGAGGTTGTAGTGATCTGAGATCGCACCACTGCACTCCAGCTTGGGCAATGGAGCAAGACTCTGTCTCAAAAAACAAAAAAGAGGAAACAGTAATGTGAATGTATATGAGAAAAGACAAACTTACTGAAGACACAGACTCCGAGGAATATTTCTGTTAAACTCATACAATTGAAATAACAAAAGTTCTTTACATTTCAGGGATATTTATTAAGGGTTTAAATAAAGATAAGGCGGTAAGGAGGTCTCCTACTTTGAAAGTCTCCTTTTCAATATTTAAAATTAGCAGAGCATTACTTCAAATATCTAATAAATATTCATTAGTAGCTTTTGGTTTACTTAACTCAGGAAACAGGACCATAGAAATACTTCTTTGACAAATAGGTTTTTTCTTTTTTTTGTGATGGAGTTTTGCTCTTGTTGCCCAGGCGGGAGTGCAATGGCACAATCTAGGCTCACTGCAACCTCCGCCTCCTGGGTTCAAGCGATTCTCCTGCGTCAGCCTGCCAAGTAGCTGGGATTACAGGCATGCACCACCACACCCGGCTAATTTTGTATTTTTAGTAGAGATGGGGTTTCTCCATGTTGGCCAGGCTGGTCTCGAACTCACGAGCTCAGCTGATCCACCCACCTCAACCTCCCAAAGTGCTGGGATTAGAGGCATAAGCCACTGTACCAGCTGACGAATAGATTTTCACCTAAACTCTCTGTAATCCAGGTCTAGGCACTCTGGGCTGCATGAAAATAAAGAAAAAAAGGAGGAGCAAAAGCCTAGCTTAACATCAGTTTTTGATTCACATTTCTATAGAGTAAGTGTAGTTTAATGACCTGGTAAATGCAAATTATAAGGAATGATTTTCCACCCAAAGTCCAGGTGTAGAATCCTACAAAATTCAATATCCCATCAAAATGTGTGATGGTGAATATCATCAGGTTAGCCTTAAGAATTGCTGAGACTAAGTGTGGTATCATTATGAGATGCCATCTGGATTAGCAGAAAACTGACATGCCACAGAGAAGCCAGATCTGCACATCTCCTGATGAGCAGATTTTGGCGGAACCACTGCTCAGGACAGAACAGCGGAGCCAGTTTATTTGTTCATCCTGTTCTTAAACACTACACTGACCCAATCAGGGTGGCTTATTAGAATACGGTGAAGACTGCATTCTCTTGGTAACTAGCTATCTTTTCCATTTATTGCAGAGACTCGGGAAAACTGCAAAAAGGTTAAGCACATTTGCAGAACAAAAAAGCTTAAATTATCATTTGGAGGAAAAGATAAACAGGCAGTAAATATTTGCATTACCAGGAGGAAGTATGTTTTTCACCATATCTTATATCTGTTACTTAACTATAGTTATTGAATTTCTAAAAACTTCCCCAAAATGGTCAACACTGAGCAAAGTTCTCTCTATAAACAAACAGAAATGAAGTGTTTGTATGCTCTGAGGAAGTAATGACACTGCAGATCACTTACAGTTCTTTTCAATTCATATAGTTGGAAAAAAGAATTTTCATTAGCAGGGAGTTGGCAAATAGTAGATACAAATACCTATTCCTTCCTCCACTAAACACACACATGCTTAGACCATTTCACTTTGCAGGCTTCTGGTTACTTGTGAGTCAGTCGAATGTTAACCACATTTGATGGGAAGAAAGTGTGTTCAGAAGAGGACCGACAGAAAAAAGTTAAAGACTCCAGGGACTAGAGTTCTCAAGAAAGTCAAAGAGAACTTCAGGTGATCATGAGAGAATAAAAACTCTGAAAAAATTACCATATGTCCCAGCAATTACTCTCCCAGATGCCAATCCATGAGAAAAGGAAACATATGTCCACATGAAGACTTGTGCTGAAACGTTCACAGCAGCATTATGCATATTGGCCAAAAATGCAAACAACCCAAATGCCCATCAACTGAAGGACAAACAAACTGGTGTGGGCCGGGCACAGAGGCTCACGCCTGTAATCCCAGCACTTTGGGAGGCCGAGGAGGGTGGATCACGAGGTTAGGAGTTCGAGACCAGGCTGACCAACTTGGTGAAACCCCATCTCTACTAAAAATACAAAAATTAGCCGGGTGTGGTGGTGCGCGCCTGTAATCCCAGCTACCCAGGAGGCTGAGGCAGGAGAATTGCTTGAACCCAGGAGGTGGAGGTTGCAGTGAGCCGAGATTGCGCCACTGCACTCCAGTCTGGGCGACAGAGTGAGACTCTGTCTCCAAAACAAACAAACAAACAATGTGGTGTAGCCATAATGGAGTATCATATTCAGCCACAAAAGGAATGAGGCCCTGACATATGCTGCTACATAGATGAACCTTGCAAACGCGATGCTAAGTAAGAGAAGCCAGTCACAAAAGAGCACACACTACATGATTCCATTTATATGAAACGTCCAGTACAAGTCAATCGACAGAAAGCAGATTCGTGGCTACCAGGGCCTGCGGGTAGGAATGAGGAGTGACTATAAATGGGTATGAGGTTTCTTCTTGTGGTGATGGAAATGTCCTAAACCTGGATTGTGGTGATGACTGCACCACTCTGTAAATACACTAAAAATCCTTCAATTGTATGTTTAATATGGGGGAATATCATGGTGTATAAACACATCTCAACAAAGCCGTTAAATGACGACTATGGGGCCAGGTGCGGTGACTCACGCCTGTTAATTCTAGCACTTTGGGAGGCTGAGGTGGGCGGATCACCTGACGTCAGGAGTTCAAGACCAGATTGGCCAACATGATGAAACCCCATCTGTACTAAAAATATAGAAATTAGCCCAGCCCCATCAGCTCCAAGTCATGATGGCCTAGGCTAAGCCCATGGGGTGGGCTGCTGGGATCATGGACAAGGTCAGGAGGCCCTAACCCTGACTTCCACAGGACTGCCTCTGACACTCTGCTGGGATGTGTATTCATGTGTGCGGCTCCCACAGGGGACTGGAAGTAACTTGAAGGCTGAGGCTCTATCAGGTCTGATTCATGTATCTGTCTCTAAGCCCTGCACATGCCCCCAGACACAATCCTGCATGGCTGGCACTTGATAATGTCTATTAGGAAAATCCAATGGTGCTTTGAAAATGTCTTCCTCCATCTCCAGCAGCCTCAAGCAGGATAGTTTAGAGGATTAGAGATAAGCTTTCTAGTTCTGTCTTAGAGAGTCATCCAACCTCTCCAAAGTGTAGTGGAAAAATACCATCTACCTCCTGGGTTGCCATGGGAATTTTAACTCAATCTGATCTCACAGGAGACGCCGTGACCTACTGCACAATCATTACCTGAGGCTGAACTTCTGCAGGGCCCCAAGAACATTCTCCCTGGTGATGATGTCCTTGTCCTCCTCCTTCAGTCTTCCCTCCAGCATCCACAGCACCTTTGTGTTCTGGGCAAGGTAGAGGCGACCTGATGATACACCAGAGAGCAAACAGGTGAAAGACAGAAATAATTTATCTGGTATGCTACAAAACCACTTTCCATGAAAACTTACTTTGCATATAACACAGTAGAGTTTGGGTAATTTTATGTTCTAAAAAACTTACTGGGCAGGGTGCAGTGGCTCACGCCTATAATCCCAGCAGTTTGGGAGGCTGAGGCAGGCAGATCACCTGAGGAGATCGAGACCAGCCTGGCCAACATGGTGAAACCCTGTCTCTACTAAAAATACAAAAATTAGCTGGGCGTGGTGGCAGGTGCCTGTAAACCCAGCTACTCGGGAGGCTGAAGCAGGAGAATTGCTTGACCTTGGGAGGCAGGTTGCAGTGAGCCGCGATTGCACTACTGCACTCCAGCCTGAATGACAGAGCGAGCGAGATTCCATCTCAAAACAAACAAACAAACAAACAAAAACGTACTGGTTGTGCAAGGTGGCTACGCCTGTAATCCTAGCACTTTTGGAGGCTGAGGCAGGTGGATTGTCTGAGCCGAGGCATTGGAGACCAGCCTGGACAACAGGGCATAACCTCGTCTCCACAGAAACTAAGGAAAATTAGCCAGGTATGATGATGCACACCTGTTCACCCCGCTAACTGGGGGGCTGAGGCGGGAGGAACATTGCTTGAGCCCAGGCAGGTGAGGCTACAGTGAGCTGAGATCATGCCACTGTACTCCAGCCTGGGTGACAGAGTGAGACTCTGTCTCAAAACAAAAACAAAAACAAAAACAAAAAAAACCACAAAACCCCCACAAAATTTATTAAAAGATATTTCTTCCAAAAGTTGGTTTTATTCAATGAAATATCTGATGACTAGAAAAACCACTCTTCTTGAGAGCTAAACATAATTCATTGCTGTGTTCTTGTGGGGAGCACTGTCCTTTTTTTCCATGAAATCCTGAACCCAACAGTCAGATCTACAAGGAGAAAAGAGGGGTAGATGTGTGTGTTATGAGCCCTTAAGTCTTCACAACAGAGGCAGCCAAGGAATGCTTCCGTCCACACTCTCTGTACAAGGCCTGGAGAAGAAGCAAGATGCCATACCTGGGACCCTGTAATAAGCCCAGAACGGTCACTAGCCTGCTATGGACTTCTGAATTGATATGGAAGATGTTAATTTCAGACATAAGTTTCAACAGTATTATCATATGAATGGTCCTCAGTAACATATCCTGGCGTATCATAAATGTCTGCCAAAAGGATGGAAGAATGAACGAACAAATGAACAAAGTTTTGGAGTATCATATATTCATAATTTGAAAACTCCCTTTATTCACATTGTAAAGAGCTCAAATAAATAAGAACTTATGGAAGATAATGGCACTTTGCAAAATCATTTTAAATTCAGTTATGGGGGCATGTTATTTTCAGAGTTTTCAAATCCTTTGATTTAAGAGGTCATAGTCTTCCGAAGGAAATGGTGCAGTGTTTATTGGCGTCTGCTTTGTTTCACTAAGCTTATTTTGCCGTAACTGTTTCACGTATTTTGCCTTAAGTAGGAAATTATAGAAAATGCATTCATTACCTGTGATATACTTGAAAGTAATATAAAATGTTGCTATGTTACAAAACCAGAAAGTTTTATAAAATAAAACCGGGAGGTTTACAAAATAAACCCCAAAACTGTCTAAATGTGCTCTGACATAAATGAAAGCAATATGACAACAATTTTCACAAAAGACCTTAGATAAATTAAACAGTAACAAACTGAGGAAACGTCATCTCCGAGAAACTTGGGAGGAACGCTCATTTTCAAAGGAAAAAGCACACCAATGCGACCAAGCTCTTCTCTTTGAAGCAAAGCTGATGTCTCACCTTCTGCCAGTGACGCAAAAGCATTGATGAGCCTGGCCATGTACTGCCGCACCACGTCACTCTTGGAGTGCAGCAACTGAAGCACACTCCTCTGGGGGAAAAAGTCAAGAGGAAAAACAACAAGGTTAAGAAAAGGGAGAGATAAACATATGTCTCCTCTTTGGGTCTGGTAGTTCTCTTCCTCTGCCTGAACTTATTAGAGGTGAAATAAACAGACTAAAGCCAAACATTTCATCTGGAAGCCTTGATTTCCAGCTGAAATTTGATGAGACTTGGCAAAAATAAGTTAAGTCAGATTTCCAAATTAAATGAATTAATTATACAAAGCCCTCAGAACAGTGACTGGCGCAAAGGAAGCAGTCCTGTTTGCTGTTACCGTTGCTGCTGTTTTCCAGGTTAGAATGGCAGATCCAAGACACATGCCTAATTTGGCTCCCTCTAAACCACAGTAAAATTACAATAAATGGACCGTTAAAAAAGATAATTGCCAAGGACAGAGTGAACAGCACGAGAAACAATAACGCCACAATTCTGGAAGTGGGAATGCAGCATGGCAAGAGGCTTAGCAGGCCCAAGAAGGTCAAATCTCAAGGCAGCAACGGGCACTGTGGAATTACCGTTTCCATTGCTCACTCCTCAAAGGGCTTAAGAGCTGAAGAAAAATAAATGGAATGGAATGAATGGAAGTTGTTTAAGCAGCAGCTGGATCCCACTCATGTGAGTCCTGCGCATCTCTCAGCACAGGGCAGGGGAGAGGGTGTTCCCCTGTGAGGGTGACATAAAGGGTCTGTGGATGGGGGACACCAGGCAGAGGAGAGCAAGGGTTGCAGGGGTTCTAGAACAAAATGGAGAGCGGGGTTAGTGTCTAAATGCAGAATGAATGTGGAACAGAGGGCCACCCCAAAACTTGGCTCCCAGGACCCTGGCAACCAGACCCTTTCCCTCTAGGCCCAAGATTAGAAGACTATTCTCACGGTGAAGTGACCAGCCCAAGGAGAAAGAACTAGAGACCATGAAATCAGAGGTTCCCAGCAAACGGCCCACCCAGATCCCCCTGGATGGAGCTATCCGTCGACAGACCCCACCATCACACTCAATGGCTCTGTAGTCCCCTTCACTCCAAATCTCTCATTAGGAGATCATCAAGGACCACCAGACATCTGAGAAAAGTTTCTACCAGGAGGCCAAAACAAACGGGGCAGGGGCGGGCTTGGAGTAAATGAGACTGTGCAGGGAGAAGAAAACTAAAAATTAAATAAAAATTCATCACTAACATCCTCAAAGATATAAGAAACTGTATTATATCCATGAAACAAGAGAAAGCTATCAAAAAGGAAATAAAAGTTTCAACAGAAGGGTCAGAAAATAAAGATGAAGAAATCCAGGGAGGCTGGGCAGGCTGGCTCACGCCTATAATCCCAGCACTTTGGGAGGCCGAGGTGGGCAGATCACTCGAGGTCAGGAGTTTGAGACCAGCCTGGCCAACATGGTGAAACCCCATCTCTACAAAAATACAAAAATTAGCCAGGCGTGGTGCCGCACACCTGTAATCCCAGCTACTCGGGAGGCTGAGGCAGGAGGATTGCTTGAACCCAGGAGGCACAGGTTGCAGTGAGCTGAGATTGTGCCAGGGCAGCAGAGTGAGATAGTCTCAAAAAAAAAAAAAAAAAAAAAGAAATCTCCCAAAGAATGGAACAAAAAGTAGAAAATATGAGTGAAACTATAAGAAAAATAGAAAACCAGTTCAGGAGGTTCAACATTCAGAGACAGAACACAGAAAACAGAAGGAAGAAATCCTCAACAAAATAACTCAAGAAAAAGTTCCCAAAATGAAAGCTGTCAGATTGAAAGGGTCCACAAAGTGCTCAAAACAATGGATTAAAATATACCTCATGAAGGACGTCAATGGGAAACTGGGAAGATTCAATATGCTTCTCAAGAGAGAAACAGGTCACATATGAAAGATAAAGAATTGGAATAGCTTTGGATTTCTGTTTTAAATTTTTAAGTCAAGGTCTCACTTTGTTGCCCAGGATGGAGTGCAGTGGTGTGATCACAGCTCAGAGCGCCAACCTCTTGGGCTCAAGCAATCCTCCCACCTCAGCCCTCTGAGTTAGCTGGGACTACAGGCGCATGCCAACGTGTCTGGTTAATTTTTTTTTTTTTTTTTCTCAGCTGCTCACAAATTCCTGGGCTCAAGCGATCCTCCTGCCTTGGCCTCCCAAAGTGCTAGAATTATAGGCATGAGCCACCATACCCAGCTGGCTTTGGATTTCTGAACAGCAAAACTGGAACCTAAAAGACAATGGAGTAATGTCTTCAAAATTCTGAAGGAAAATTATTTACAATCTAGGATTCTATACAAAGAATGAAGACATTTCTTGACCATATATGATTTCAAAATATATACTTCCTGTGCACTTTTTCTCTAGATGCGATTAACTAAAGGATGTGTTCCACCAACCGAGAGAACAAGTCAAGAAATAAGATAATATCAGACACTGGAAACAGAGATCCAATTCAGGAAAGAGGTGAAAGGAATCAACACATGTTTGGTGAAGAGACTCCTGGACAGCAGCTATGCACCAGAATGTTTTCCAGACTAAACTCAGCTGATCCAAGAGGGCGACATATCCAAGGCTGTCATCCCCAAGATGCCTGTTACCATTACACCAATTTAGGTCGAATTTTTGTTGAAGTATAGCATCTACACAGGACACTGCACAGATCACAAGTACAGCCTGATGAGTGTTCACAAAGTGAACATGTGGCTAACTAGTAAACAGATCAAGAAACAGAACATGACCATCATCCCAAAAGCCCTTCCAGAACCCCATTCCAAACCAAGGGTGACCTCTCTCCTGGCTTCTAACATCATAGATGCATGTTGCTTGGCTTTAAATTTTTTGATAAATGAAACCATATATTATATATTCTCTAATGTTTCACTTTTTCATTCAACAATATGTTTGAGATATTCACCCAGGGTCTCTGCTGTATTCCTTCTCATTGCTCGAGGTATCCCATTTTACAAATACATCACAGGTATTCACTCTACTGCTGATGGACATTTGGGTTGCAGCCAGTGTTTTGGTTCTAGAAGTGCAGCTATGAATATTCTTGCATGTTTTTTAGTGAACATATGGGCATGTTTTGGGTGGGGCTTACTTAGGAGCGGCTTTGTTAGGACACAGGTATTCAGTTTTAGTAAATGCTGCCTGTGTTCCAAAGTAGTGCACCATGTCCTAATTTTTAAACAGAGTACAAAATAGCTGGTGAGACGAGCCCAGACTTATCTGCATTTGGATAACCCTGATCATATGCTAGTGAAGTTCCAGCTCCCCTTTCCATGCCCTGCTTTGTGGATTAGCTGTGAACAGTCTTTCTACTGCCACAGAAGTGTTCTCAAGTGATCAACCCCTGAGAACTAGGAGGAGATCAGGTGAGCTTACGAGACAAAATACAGAGCAGCTCACCATTGCCCTTGGGCATAAATATTGCTGCTGGGCCGGGTGCAGTGGTTCATGCCTGTAATCTCAGCACTTTGGGAGGCTGAGGCGGGCGGATCACCTGAGGTCAGGGGTTCGAGACCAGCCTGGCCAACATGGTGAAACCCCATCTGTAATAAAAATACAAAAATTAGTTGGGCATGGTGGCACGCACCTGTAGTCCCAGCTACTCAGGAGGCTGAGGTGGGAGAGTTGCTTGAACCCAGCAGACAGAGGTTGCAGTGAGCCAAGATCGCACCACTGCACTCCAGCCTGGGCAACAGAGCGAGACAGTCTCAAAAAATTAAAAAATAAATAAATATAGCTGTTGGACAACTGGTACCTGGCCAACCTTTCAATTCTGCCTGATGCTCTATGTTTCCCAGGACTGTCTCCCACCTTTGATGACCAATGTTCCCGGAGGGGATCAATAAGTGCTCAGGGAAGCTATGTCCAAATGTCATCCCTAACTTTGGTTTATGCCATCTTCTCCTAGCTAACTTCATCTAACACGGGCACAGTCCTGTTCCCTTGCAGAGCGAGGCTGGTGCTTGCTACTCAGCCCAAAAGCAAATGCTGTATTATGCAGGATATACACATAGATGGGAAAACTATAAAGAAAAAGCAAGGGGCAGATTAACACAACAGTCAGGATGTGCATGCACACTTCACAGCAGCACTATTCACAGTAGCCAAAAGGTGGAGGCAATGCAAATGTCCACTGATGGAGGAACAGATAGATATGCAAAATATGGTCCATCCATACAATGAAATATTAGCCTTAAAAAGGAAAGAAATTCTGACATATGCTACATGGATGAATCTGAGGACATTAGCTAAGTGAAATAAGCCAGTCACAAAAAGAAAAATACTGTACAATTCTACTTATATGAGGTATTTGGAGAAGTCACAATCATAGAGACAGATAGTAGAATGGGAATTTGCCAGGGACCTGGAGTAGGGGGGAATGGAGAATTATTGCTTAATGGCTACAGAGTTTCAGTTTTACAAGATGAAAAAAGTTATTTATGGAGACGGATGGCACGTGATGGTTGCACATTATGAATGTGTTTAATACCACTGAACTGTACACTTAAAAATGGGTAAGATGCTTAGAGATATGAAGGGAGATATTTATGAAGTCTAGAAACTAAGAATTCAGCTAAAAATGAAAAATTCAGTTCTCTATAATTTCATTAAATTTGGCTCCATTCAAGTTTTTGGTCTCGAGTGTTGCAGGAAGTCAGGGGCCCCGAATGGAGGGACCGGCTGGAGCTGCGGCAGAGGACCATAAATTGTGAAGATTTCATTTTAATATGGACATTTATCAGTTTTCAAATAATACTTTTATAATTTCTTATGCCTGTCTTTAATCTCTTAATCCTGTTATCTTCGTAAGCTGAGGATGTACGTCACCTCAGGACCACTGTGATAACTGTGTTAACTGTACATATTGATTGTAAAACATGTGTGCTTGAACAATATGAAATCAGTGCACCTTGAAAAAGAACAGAATAACAGTGATTTTTAGGGAACAAGGGAAGACAACCATAAGGTCTGACTGCCTGCAGGGTCAGGCAAAAAGAGTCATATTTTTCTTCTTGCAGAGAGCCTACAAACGGACACGCAAGTAGGGAAGATACCGCTAAATTCTTTTCCTAGCAAGGAATATTAATACCCTGAGAAAGGAATGCATTCCTGGGGGGAGGTCTGTAAACGGCCGCTCTGGGAATGTCTGCTTTATGTGGTTGAGATAAGGACTGAGATATGCCCTGGTCTCCTGCAGTGCCCTCAGGCTTACTAGGGTGGGGAAAAACTCCACCCTGGTAAATTTGTGGTCAGACCGGCTCTCTGCTCTAGAATCCTGTTTTCTGTTGTTTAAGATGTTTATCAAGACAATACATGCACCACTGAACATAGACCCTTATCTTATCACTGAACACAGACCCTTACCACTGAACATAGACCCTTACCATAGACCCTTACCATAGACCCATAGACCCTTACCACTGAACATAGACCCTTACCATAGACCCTTACCATAGACCCTTACCATAGACCCATAGACCCTTACCACTGAACATAGACCCTTACCATAGACCCTTACCACTGAACATAGACCCTGATCTTTGTTGAACCCTTATCAGTAGTTCTGCTTTTGCCCTTTGTCCTGTTCCCTCAGAAGCATGTGATCTTTGTTAGACCCTTATTAGTAGTTCTGTTTTTTGCCCTTTGAAGCATGTGATCTTTGTACCTACTCCTTGTTCTTACACCCCCTCCCCTTTTGAAACCCTTAATAAAAACTTGCTGGTTTGAGGCTCAGGTGGGCATCATGTTCCTACCAATATGTGATGTCACCCCCGGCGGCCCAGCTGTAAAATTCCTCTCTTTATACTGTTTCTCTTTATTTCTCAGCCAGCTGACACTTATGGAAAATAGAAAGACGCCACATTGAAGTATTGGGGGTGGGTTCCCCCAATACTCGAGCTGTAATTCTCAAAGCATCCTGGACCAGCAGTATTAGCATTACGGGAAAACTTGCTGGAAATGAAAATCCATGAGCCCCACCATAGACCTATTGAATGGAAACTGTTGGTGGGACCCAGTGATCTGTTTTAATGAGACCTCCAGGAGATAACAATGCACATTAAACTTTGAGAACCACTACGGGAGAGGAATGGGCTGAGTTCAATTTCCTGTCTGTACAGGATGCTTGTGAGTGTTCATTTGGCGACTAACTTGGGTCCCATAGGTAGAACAGCACCCCCATTGCTGCGGACAATGGAGGTCTTTCTGCCCTGCCAGATTTCCTCTGAGCATCGTTAAGAGAACTCTCCAACTCATTTTTATTTTTCTTTTTGAGATACCGGAAGTCTCAGTCTGCACCCCCTCAGGGCTGGGAGTTCCATGTGGTGCAATTCTCAGCTC